GGAGCTGGCCTGGTTCAAGTCCCTGCTCTGCCAATGAACCTTGGGCAGTGGCCTTCTTTCCCTGCTGGCCGTCCAGGTCCAGCATGAGGTGTGAGAGCCCCAGGGAGGAGCACAGGCACCAGTGACTGCTAGTGAATGCTCCACTTCACACCCTGCTCGCTGGGAGGCTGTTTTTGGTCCTGTCTCCCCTGGTTGCTGCATCAGAAGACAGAAATACAGTCTGGACCGTCCACAGCTACATGCCCTGGGGACCTGTCTTAAAGTCTCCTCAACCTGCTCAGGTAAAACCCGACACCTGAGAGGGTGCTGGGCTTTCTGAAGGAAGAACAGCTAGGCCAGAGAGTGGATGAGGCTCAGGGGCACGGGCTCTGCGGGGAGTCCTGGGAGTCTCCCCTGGCCTGGGGTGCCATGAAGAGCCATGAAGGCCCCTCCCAGGTGGCCGCCCACCCTCACTGAGCACCTGCCTAGGCCTCCATGCTTGGCCACCTTGGCCTCCCACCTGCCCTTGGCCTTCCCTGGGAGCCGTGGGGACTGCTGCTGCCCGGAAGGGAAGATGCATGGACAAAGCCAAAGCCGGACAGAACCCAGACTCGAGGCACTGTCCCCACGCAGCAAAGGCCCAGAGAGGGAAGGCTGCTTGCTGGAGACACCCAGGAAAGGGGCACAGAGCCCGGACAGGGCATGCAAGGGTGGCGGCCTCCCTCTCCTGCGCTTCAGACACACGTGAAGCCCCTCCTCCTACCCAGGTGGACTGGCCCACAGGACGACCGTGTTGTGTGGCCTTAGTTGGGGAGGACAGCCCCGTGCCAGGGACCTTCCTGGCCTGAGGCTCTCTGGGTAGGTCCAGGAGGGAGGGGCACTTAGCTCTGGAGACAAGGCCGAGACCTGAAAGGTAACCAGCTTCCTGGGGACACCCAGCTGACCTACCCTGTGGCCTCTTCCTGTCCCTGCCTGGGAGGGAAGGGAGGCTGGGCTGAAGCTTGGCTCCCCGGTCCCCCAAGGAGGATGCTAGGGGCACAGAGGGTGGGCCCTGTGATAACCATGGTGCTGGCCTGCAGGGGCTCCATGCCCAAGCCTGGACATGACCAGCCAGGGGGCAGGGCCTCCTTTTGTTCCCTTCTGACCCCAGTCACTTTCCCAAGGCCACACAGCCATGAGCAGCAGAGCCAGGGCGAGAGCCCCACCCGCCTGCCCCAGCTCGCAGCCTTCAGCCCTGCACTGGCCCAGTGGGGACACGCTACTGGCTCCAGGAATGTCGGGGTGCACTGGGAGGTGAGGCCTGTCACTTGGCACCCCAGGACACAGCCCATTGCAGACCCTGGACCGTGGCCACCCTTGCTTTTTGTCAGGTCCAGCTGTGCCCAGCCATGGGGAAGGACACAGCTCCACATAAGCCCTGCTCTGTTATGTCCTGGTGAGGGTGGCCTGGCTGCAGTGACCCTCGGGGACCCCTGGCTAGGCCTGCCGTGTGGCCCCACGTTCCTAAGGCCATGGGACCTGTGGGACCAGGGAAGCTTCCCAGCCTACCCACTTCTGCTCCTGGGTCCTGAGTTCCGCTGCATCCACGGCTGGCGCCCAGCTGTTTCTCGGCCAGCTGTTCCCCCACTGCATGGCCTCCGTCCCACATTCCCGCAGCAGGGCCTGGGCTGGGACCCTCCGTGGCCGGAGGAAACCCGCCTTCTGCGGCTCCCATCTCTGCCAGGTGACGCTTTCCTTCAAGGTCAGGCCTTGGGAGGGCTGGGCAGCCATTGCCAGAGCTAGATTCAGGGGACTCAGTCCACCCAGGACCCACCGCTGGGCCCCCATATGTGGCTGACTGGTGCCCAGGACCTGAAGCCCACAAAGGGTAAGGGGACTTCCCAGAGTCCCTCAGGTACCCGGGCCATGCTGGGCCTTGGGGTGGGCAGGAGGTCGGGGCTGGAGGCTGGGCTGGAGTGGGACCGAGTTCTGAGCGAGGGTGGACTTTGAAGAACAGAGGGCTGTGCCTTGACTCTCAGCGTGAATAGCCGCAGGCGCCTGGGCCGCCGGCTCCGGCTGTTTCCACAAACACAGATGGACCGTGGAGGTCAGAGGAGGCTGTGTGGAATGTGGGCCGGTGCTGGGCCAGGTTCCGAGGCCTCCACTGGGTGAAGGGGCCACAGGCCTCCTAGAAGCCCGAGGGTCTGCAGACCTCCAGGCTGGGGAGCCTCGGGATTTTCCCTGTGGCTGGGAAAGACACCTCAGAGGGGCACAAGACAGGGAGCCAGGTGTGGCCGTGGGGCTTGGCCAGCTCTTGTGACCTTGGCCCGGGGTCAGCCACCTGGATCCAGACGTTTGAGCATCTCTGGGAAAGGAGGGGTCTGCACTGCCACCTGAGGGCCCCTGACTGGCGGGCACTCAGCTCTGGGGACAGGTTGCAAGCACAGGGGCACCTTGAGACCCCTTCTCTCACCCTTCCTTGCTGAGTGGAGCTTGTGGGGCCCCTTTGACTCAGACTAGGCCCAACTGCCAGGGGCAGCCTGGTGACAGGGACAGGGTCCCATAGGCACAGATGGAGGAAGTGGGGAGTCTGCACCGAGGTGGGTGGGGTGAGGGGCCACCTGGAAGTAGGGGAGGGAGCCAAGGACGCCCAGGAGCGGGTGGGAGGGCCTGCAGGGTGCCTGGCGCCAGCACAGCGTGACTGGGCCACACGGGGACGATGGGGAGGCCGCCTCCGGCCGGCTGCACTTTCGAAGGACTCTGCCTTGCTGTTCCTGCAGTCCAGGCCAGAAACAATAGTGGGAGCAGGAGGGGACAGCACTGTGTCTGGCTGTCCTCTCTGCTTTCCCAGACCCGGCCACCCCCACCCCCTAACGTTCTTTGCGGAGTTGACCTCCCTCTCCTCTCAGCACTGGGCGGAATGTGGACATGGGAAGGGACTGCCCTGACCCAGCTGGCCCCGCTTGAGGCCTCCTACACCCTGGGGTCCCTGAAGCCCCCACCTCCCTGTGCACGAGGACACAGCCTTCAGGCTTCAGTGGACTGACAGGGACATGGAACCCCCACTAGTCCCCAGCCTCAGCCTCCCCCGGTCCCCGGAGACCCTCCTCAAGGTCCTAGCTGGGCGTGCACAGTTCACCCCCCACCCCTCTGGTTCACTCAGCCTCGACATGGGGGTGTGGGTGGAAGGCGACATCCTGAAGTCTCCTCTAGGTCTCCAAGACTCTGGGGGGCAGGAAACGGGGGCCAGACTCTATCTGGAGGCACCCTCAGAATATCGGAGGCCTGATATTTTCTCAGCTGCCCCCTGTACCTCTGGACGGCCAGCACAGAAGCCTCTCTCCCCGCTCTACCTCATGGCCCAGAGTCCAGGGTGGCAAGCCTGCCAGGGAACCCCTTGCGGGGTGGTGTCCAGGCAGAAAGCAGCCCCAAACTCAGTGGACAGAAGTGGGACCTGCAGACGGGAGCACCTCAAGAATGAGGCTTTGGTGCCATCTGCTGGCTGTGTCTGCAATGACTGCTCCTGGCCCCATTGTCCAGAGCCCACAGGTTTCTGCAGGGGAAGAGCTACCAGGGTGTGGGCGGCCCTGCAGGGTCTGGGGGCAGCACCCGCCCCTCCCCTCTCAGGCTGTCTGAAGATTTTTTTGCCCAGCATTTGGCCCTGGTAAGAATTCGAGCCTCTTCTGGAAGCCCAGGTTCAAAGGCCGCCCGGTCCTGACTCGATCCTTGATCTTGGGCAGGACCCTTATTGGGCACACGGACCTCAGGACAAGGGGTCCACCTTGGCCTCCCTGTGTCCATGTCTTGTGCCCCTCAGGGTCTGCTCAGGCCTGGATAGCAGAGAGGACAGTAAATATTTACTGCTGACAGGAGAAGGCAAATACTGCCCCAGGGCCAGGCAGAGGTGCCAGCCAGTCTGTGCCAGGAGCAGACGCAATCTGGGAGCCAGCTTGAAGGCAGCCTCACTGACGGAAGGCCCCTGGTGGGGAAGGACGGCGCTGTGTGCCCACGCAGGGCCACCTGTGCAGCTCCAGGACTCAGTCTCCCCTCTCAGCATGGTACAACAGTTCCCACCTGAGTGTGGGCAGGTGGGACACCAATCAGACCAGGCTGAGTACCGGGCAGGTGTGTGGGCTGCTCTTGGTGACACTGGAAGAGGCTGCTAGGGGGTCAGGGGGCCAGCAGGGTGGGGACTCCAGTTGAGGAGCATTTGGGCTGACCCAAACCCCAAAGCCAGGCTGACGCTAAGGCTGGACGCAGCTGACCACCCCTGCCAGGAGCCCAGGTTCCCAGAGGCACAAGGCCCCATGGGAATTGTGAAGCCCAGGTCTGTGGGCTTGGCCTAGTTGGATTGACCTGGGGGCTCCAGGGAGTGTCCATACCCCCTGTCCCCAGATGGGACGTCTGGGTCAGCCCCCAGGATGGTGCTGAAGAGAGTGGTGTGATCTTGCCTCTGAACACCTGGACCCTGGGTCACCTTGGGTAGAAATTTCTCATACATGCCCAGGGCAGGGTCGAGAGGTGCCTGCTCATCTGTCTGGTCTCCCTCCCCGACCTTTTCAAGGGCGCACTCAGGGAGCAAGGGGCTGGGTGGCAGGCCTCAGGGAGGACGGTCCTGTGTCTTGGAGATGGGGCAGGTTTCGGGAAGGGAGAGGGCGACGGCCAGCTCAGGCCGGGCTGAGGGTCGCGCACCACATGGGAATTGAGGCCTCAGACCAGAGTTCCCCCAGGTGGCACCCAGGTCGCAGGACATCTGGGCCCTGAAACCAGGTTTCTGAGCCTTGCATCCACCTGGGACTGGCCACAATAGGTATCCCACAGAGCTGGACTGGCCCCAGGAGACCTGGCACCCTCAAGGGTTCTCTGCACCCTGACTCATATCCCCTCTAGGGAGGTTGTTGGCACCTGGGGGGGGGGCATCTGCCCATCAACCCTCAAGGTCCAGGCCAACATGACCAGGGGCTGGCTGGAGAGCAGGCACACTCAGCCAGCCCCCTTCCTGTCCAGCTTTGGCTGCCCGCCCCAGCAGCCATCCCACATACCTCGACTCCACAGGACGCCCCTGCCTCTAGCCGTGCGAAAGGGACAGCGGGGTATTCCCACGGACAGATCCCAGCCTCCTCCTCCCCTCCTCTTCCGGGTCCAGTGTCCAGCCGTCCACCCGCCTGTCCAGTCCTGGCTCCCACTCCAGGGGCGGGGCTTGCTGGGGGCCCAGGATGTCTCCTCTAGGTGGGGGTGCTGGTGGGGTCATGAAGAGAAGGACCACCTGGGAAGGATCCTCAGGGCTGCAGGGGGAGGAGCTAGCAGGCCTGGCACCCTGGAGGGGTCTGCTCCCAGCCCTGCGGCCGGCCCCCAGGTGGTCTGCAGCCAGAGGCCCAGGCCCAGCCATCTGAGCCTGCTGGGCGGAGCTCTCAGGTCAGGTACAGATTGGTTTGGCCTGGGTGGCAGGCAGGCTCTCCAGGCCTTCGGGTGGCCAGGGACACCAGCTGACCTTCCAGGACACTGCCAGACCCAGCAGCCCCTAGGTTCTTATCTGACCAATAGGTGGCACCCAGACTGGAAGTCTGATGGAGCCCGTGGTACTGAGGGTTCTGAGGAGGGGCCCCTAGAAAACCTAGAACCAGTGTGGCCTTGTCCTTGGGGCCTGGGGGTACTTCTAGGGGTGACGGCCAGGTCTTTGCAAAAGGAGTGTGGAGAGTGCACTGACAGCATGACCTTGTGTCCTCAGAGGGAAGCATGGGCCCAGGGGCAGGCGATCTCATGGCCTTGCAGTGGGGGCACCTCAAGGAGTGGGCTTCTGAGGCCCTGCCTGGTGCCAAGAGGTCCTTCAGTCTGTCCTTTGCCCGTGGGGCCACCTGGCTTACCCTGCTCCCTCCAAGGCTCTGGGGTCTCCCTTAGGGTGTCTGATGGTGTCCAGAGGGAGGCCCAGCCTCTATAACGTCTTATTTTTTTTTTTGGTGTCAAGATGGAACTCAGGGCCAGTAACCTCTGAACCCCAGCCCCAGGCCTATTTTGTATTTTGTTTAGAGACCGGGTCTCACTGAGTTGCTTTTGCTGAAGCTGGCTCTGAATTCGCGATCCTCCTGCCTCAGCCTCCCGAGCCCTGGGCTTACAGGTGTGCACCACCAGGCCTGGCCTCTATAGCTTTTTGACCCTGTCTATCCTCACTCTGCAGGACCCCAACCCTGGCCCAACTGCTTTCCTTCACAGGGACTTCATCCAAAATGTCTCTGAAAATAGCCTGGGAGGGCTGGGTGGAGCAGTTGCCAGAATGTCCTTGTCCACTGTCTTCCAGATGCTCTCTGGGGACCTCCAGGTCCCAGGCTATATAGCCGGAGGAGGCAGCTCCTTGCTGCCTATCACCTCGGCCTCCCAGAGATCCCACAGGGGAGGAGGGGTGCTCCTCCTACACCTAGGCCACAGGGGGAGGGACATCACGGCCCAGGCACGCCGCGTGGACCCACCCCGCCAGCCGGCTCCCCGACACACCACGGACACTCAGGGCTCGGTGCAGGTTTATTGGACGGTGCATGTGGGCAGCGGGCGGGCGGCCGGCGGCCCTAGTTGCAGTAGTTCTCCAGCTGGTAGAGGGAGCAGATGCTGGTGCAGCACTGCTCCACGATGCCGCGCTTCTGCAGGGCCATCTCCAGCGCCAAGGGTTGTGGGAGGCCTGCCCCGGGACCCCCGCCCAGCTCCATTTGTCCTCCTGTCAGGGGCAGCAGAGGCAGCAGCGAGGTGAGAAAGACACGGGACCACCCAGTCAGAAGCAGCAGCGTGCCCCACCCCTGGGTCACCCCATCCCCACCTGAGCTGGGCCCAGGCAGAAGGACTGTCCATGGGGACAGGCCTCTGGGTATGGACACAGGGTTCTGGAGTCTACACATTCTGCAGCTGTTCTCTGGTCCCAGGGCAGTGGCACACAGGCCTGCCCCTGGGTTCCCGCCCAGGGCCTGCCCACACATCCTGAGTCCCCACAGCCCAGGGGCCCTGGGGCAGGACTCCTGTATGAGCCCAAGGGTTGGTGCTGGCAGACAGGTGGACAGGCACTCCACACCCTCCAGGGCCCCTGAGACCTCAGCTCCCAGGATATGATCTAGTCAATAAAATCTGTCCCTGAGCTGACATCGTCTTAGAAGGGCCGAGCAAGGGGCTGTGGGTGCACGTTCACCTGAGGAGCAGGGGAGACGTGTGGCCCAAAGGCCTTGGTCAGCACTCCTCCACCCTGAGCCTTCCGCAACGAGCTGGTTCCCCCTAGGAAGTGACCAGGAGAGCCTCCTTTTTCCTTCCAGCAAGTCCACGGACACCCCCTAGACAGCAGCTTTCTGCCCACCTCTGTCCTACCAGGGCAGGGTCAACAGGAGTGCGACGGGGGCTGACCTTGCTGTTCTTCCACCTCCCGGCGGGACTTGGGTGTGTAGAAGAAGCCGCGCTCCCCGCACACCAGGTAGAGTGCCTCCACCAGGTGAGAGCCACAGAGGTGCTGGTTGACAAAGGCCCGGGCAGGGTCAGGCCCCAAGAGGGCCAGCAGGGTCAGCAGGGGCAGCAGGCGTGTCCACAGGGCCATGGTGGAGAGACGATGACCTGGGGGACAGGCAACGTTAAGGCAGGCCAAGGGACCCCCCTCATCCTCCTAGCCACCCTGGAGCCCCAGTTAGGCAGCTCTGGGCCCAGCATGGGGGACACGGACCTGAGTACTGACCGCCTCAGAATGCAGCTGCTCCTGCAGGGGTGAGGATGGCTGGCTCCCTTCCTGCTTTATAGCCCCAAGTTCACCTCCCCCGTCCCCTGCCCCTGCCACCTGGCCCATTAGGGGTGCAGGGAGGTCGGCAGATGGCCGGGAGGGGGCTGAGGTGGCAACTTCTGGATCATTTCCCTGGTGCTGGGTCTGCAGGAAGAGCGCTTTGATCACCAGCACCTCCGCTCAGGCCCTGGGTTCATTAGTCTTAACGAGGGCGTGATGGCGCAGCTGGCCCTGCGCGCAGCTGGGGGCCGAGGTCTCCAGGAGAGCAGAGCCCAGGGGACCAGGCTGAGTGTTTTCCACACTAGTTCAGCAGGGCTGGCAGCTGCTGAGGGCCTGTGCCTTTGCCCTGGAACTCCTGTTTAGTCCCCAGTGGGTGGCCAGGGTCATGGGGATGGGGGAGCCAGGAGTGTCCACTCCATGCTGCCTGCCTACTCCTCACCCCACCCTAGGACTAAGGCCCCCAGCCCCTTAGGACCCAGCAGCATGGCCCTGGGGTGGGGCCCGTTGTCCATCTTCAATGTGAGGGCAACAGAGTCCCCGCCGGCCCAGCCCAGGCCCCTTTCCTCCCTCCCCCTCCTTCGAGAGCCCCTGCCTGTCCTCCCCTTCAGGCCAGGCTACTGCCCCATTGCTCCCTTGGAGCTCAGCTGGGCAGAGACCTTGTGGTGCACCCCCATGCAGTGCTCAACCCCAAAGAGGACTCAGCCAGACTCTACTGGGTGGTGTACAGACCCTGAGGCCCTCTGCCTGCTGTCTGCACACCTCTTCTGCTGCAGGACACACTTTTCCCTCACAGCCTGCACAGCCTAAAGAGTTGGGGCATCCCTTGTCCTACCTCCTGACCCTGCTGCCCCTGCCCCACCCTGGTCATGAGCCCCATCCTCCACCAGGTGGCGCTCTCTGTGGGGGCTCTGTAGTGCTGTGGCATTCCTGACCTAGCCACTGAGGACACTTGGTGCTCAGTGTGCCTGCTGCAGTGGGGAGAGGAGCCCTCAGACAGGGAGGGCCAGGGAGGCAGGAGGAGCACGAGCCTTGCCCAGGACCTCACTGGGCTCACAGTCGGCTGGAGCTCCTAAGGGTTCCGGGTTGTCCCCAGGGGCTCAGTGGAGCCTGGAGCTTTCCCAAGGGTCTAAATGGGGTGCATAGCTTTCTCAGTGAAGCTCAGACCCTATCCCAGGGTCTCAAGGGCACTGAAGGCCTTATTGAGGGTCTCAGAGGAGCTTAAGGCTTTTGGTCTCAGTTCAGTTTGCTGTATACCATGGAGTCTCCAAAAGAATTACCTGCTCCCAGTTTCTCAATAGGGTTCATGGTCTTCCTTGGTGTGTCAGTGAGGCACAGGTCCATCCCCAGGGTCAAGTGGGGCTCAGGGACATCATCAGGGTCTCAGTGGGCCTCAGATCTCCTTCAAGGCCATCCCCAGGATCCCAGTGTTTCGTTAGTGAGCTATGACCTTAACATGAACCAAACCCATCTGTGTCTTTCTGCAGTGTCAGAATTTATTGAATAACAATAAATTCACAGGCTGCCCCACTTCCACCGTGGCAGTTCACTCGTGGGACACCTGGTAGTCATAAGTCACACAATCACAGGGTTTTTTATTCCAATATCAATTTCTCATATCGATAATGCTCAAGTCACACGTCAAACTTCACTCAGTGACATAGAAGGAGATCACAGAACACGAAGAAAGAGCTAAGACGGCCACAGGGTTTCAGGTGCTGAGCCAGGAGCACAAGGAAAAAAGGGATGGGAGCACAGCCACTGAGGTGACCAGTAGGTAGGTGAGTACACAGTCCTGAGTGGTCAAAGCACAGGGTCCGCAATTTCACAGCATCAGCCTGGAATGGCAACTCCAGGTGACAGCTGGAAGTGGGGCCCAGGGTGGGCATCATGGACAGGAGAAACCCCGCTCCTGTGAAGCCCAAGGACAGGGATTTGGAGGTTTGTTCCTAGGGCGATTCTCTTGGGCAAGGATTGTGACAAGTGACTAGATGATAAGGTCAGGGTGCCACTGTGTCCAGTCATGATGCTCCTTCTTTGAGGGGTTTAAGGGAGGAGGTTGCTTCATTCAGTGCCTGGTGGGTTTGATAAGTGTGTGGGCCCAGTTTTCCTGACACAGTTGGATATGCCCATCCATCCACCACGTGCTTCTGATAATTTGGTAAGTCCACAGGTGGTCATTTTAATTAGCACACTTAATTTATTTATCAGTTTGTGCCTTACAGTTGTGCCAGGCAGATGGTGGTTGTTTAATTGTACAAACAAGGTGTAGAATCATCCACCTCAGCACTTAAACTCAAAGTGGAGAAGCTCAAGGCAAATTACTGCGTTACAATGTGGAGTGACTGGGGACAAACAGCCTGAGAGCTGCTATCCTGTATGCCATGGAGTCACTCAGGGCAGGCACAGCCTGAGGACGGCTGTTCTACACACCATGGAGTCACTCAGGGCAGGCACAGCCTGAGGACTGCTGTTCTGCACACCATGGAGTCACCAGGGCAGGCACAGC